CAGCAGCAGCAGCAGCAGCAGCAGCAGCAGCAGCAGCAGCAGCAGCAGCAGCAGCAGCAGCAGCAGCAGCAGCAGCAGCAGGTGGAGCCCCGCTCAGCTGCGAGCAGCACTTGGCCGGAAAACCGAGCCCGGCCATCTAGGCTGGAGCCCACGCCGCCCCAGTCCGACCCAGTTTCCCAGGCACCGAGTTACCGAAGCCCGCGGCCGGGGGACGCGGTTGGGGCCGGATTCATCTCCGTGCACATAGCTGCGCTGGGAGACCCAGCCCGGGACGCAGGGCTAAAGGGACCTGGCTCCACCTCGGCCACCAAAAGGCTCGTGCTCCGGGGACAGAGCGTCTGTGGGATCCGGAGCCCGGGCACCTGGCCAGACACTGTTGAAGTCTGGGTGTCGTGCTCGCCCCACCTCTTTGCTCGGACAGAGAAGGCTCTTTCCAGAGGACCAGACCTCCTCGCCTGGTCCTGAGTGGAGTCCTCGCACCCGGTGCCTGTTGGTCTCGAGAACCTCTCTAGTTGACACTGGTCTGCAGATGTTCTCTGCTGGTTAGGTTTCTTCTTCGGCTAGGGGAACAGTTGCCATCAGCGACATTCTGTGCCTATGGGCGCTCCAGGTCCTGGGTCTCCAGTCCTGCGGGAATCATCCCGGCTTCGCTGACCCTCAACTCTGTCTCTGCTTGTGGTGGGTGCTCCTGGCCGTTTGGTTTTTGCCGGGAGTGTGCAGACTAGACATCTTTCTGGCTCTCACTTGGGAAGGGCACTGGTCTCCAGGGAGCGGCTTTGTGTGTGGTGGGATCCAGGGTCCTCAGCCATGGCCTTCACTTTCGCTGCTTTCTGCTACATGCTGTCTCTGGTGCTCTGCGCTGCGCTCATCTTCTTCGCTATCTGGCACGTGAGTAACCTGCTGCGGGTTCTAACTCTCATTTACCCCAAAGTCTCCCGATGCCCACCTCATTTCCTCATTTCACCTGCCTTTTGGATATTGTAGGCGTGGGCGGGCCGTGAGGCCAGGCAGAAGTACTTGCCGGGCAGACCTTGTCCATCTTCCCTGTCCCGGGGCAGGGGACACAGTTCTTGGCATCCTGAGGTCAGGCGGTACCGCACAGGCGCCTACCCGCCTTGGTTGAATGAAGTCTGTGGCCCGTGGAGCCTCCCTGGGGGATACATTCCTGGGCGTGACAAGGTGTCCCAGCCAGACCTGCAGTAGGGGCTCAAAACCCCATCTGCCCGGCTTCCTTCTGCACCCAACCCCCTTCTCTCCTGCCTGCAGAGAGAAGCGCTGCCGGTGTCCCAGGCAATTAGTCAAGTAACTATAACAACTAAACATTTAAAATGTCAGCATCTGTGGTGGGTTGCGTTTAGACATAATTGGAGACAAAGTGGAAACATAACCAGAGCATCTTGTAAGAGGAAGCAAGGAGAGGCCAGGCAGGAGAGGAGGGAAATCAAGAGAGGTGGGAGTGAAGAGAGAAAAGGGAGGGAGGAAGACTAGGATAAATGAGGTTCTAGGTGCTATAGATCTGCCCAGGTCCCTCCCATTATCCCCAGGACACACGCTTCCACCCAGCACGGAGAGCAGACCTGTCCTAGGTCATCAGGTGCGGTGTGTGGAGCGCTGTGGAGCGGAGGACTCCTGAAGGGGAGTAGGAGGAGGGCGCAGGAGGACCTGGTCTCCTGGAGACTGTGTCACATGTCACAAACCCTTGACCCCCTAGCTTCCTTCAGGGCTGCTTAAGGCCCCATTCTCACTCTGGGAAGACAGATGGATGAGAAGAGCTAAGGTCCCAGTGATTGACAGGCACCACTAACAGCCTTGCCCTTCCAGCAGGGTTGGGTAATGGAGGGACCCTGAGACTAGCTCCTGGAGGCCTGGTTCTGGGGAGTCTTGGAGAGATTGTGTACAACTGATGACCCAGAAGGAAGAAGATTGAGGAGCAGTTTATCTTAAAATAGAACTCCGAGTGTCCTGCTATAAGGGCCAAATGACAAGGGGCAGAGAGATCATGCCTGGGGAGGAGGAAGGGACTCTAACCACAGTTCCTGAAAAGACACCCTGTAGATCAATGTAAGCTTCTGCTTCTTCCTAAGCATGAACAATCACTTACCATTTGGTTTAGGGATGTAGAAGTAAGAGAGAGGGGGTCCAATGTAGGAATTTGGGGGCTGATGTAAAAAGTCAGTTAGATGTGATGGGATTTTATCCTCTCTGCCCGGGGATGCTGGATCTGTTCTACTGCACACAGTTGGACTTTGAGGATGTTGGCAGTTATAAGGGAAAGAGAGGGCGAGAGAGCGAGAGAGCGAGAGAGAGCGAGAGCGAGAGCGAGAGAGCGAGAGAGCGAGAGAGCGAGAGAGCGAGAGAGAGAGAGAGAGAGAGAGAGAGAGAGAGAGAGAGAGAGAAAGAGAGACTTTATTCAAGGTAGGTAGTGCTCAAACATACAGCAGAGTTCTGCGTCCATGTTCTAAAGGAACTTTTTCAGTGTCTTCATATTTGGAAAGGGCAATACATTCTTGAAGGCTAATACTTAATTTGGTGTTTCTTCCTGGTTTTGCTTTGTCTGGAGGGTGGCAGGTCCTGAGAGTACCCCTAAATCCTTCAGACTAGATGTTCACTGCAGTGGCTCCTGAAGCAGGGTGGATCACCAGAAAGAAGGCTCTTTTCTCCCTCAGGGTGTGTGTGAGTGAGTGAGTGTGTGTGGTGTGTGTGTGTGTGTGTATGTGTGTGTGTGTGTGTGTGTGTATGTGTGTGTGTATGTGTTGGGGTAGGGGGGCGATGGGGAGAATTATACATAACTCTAGGACTAGCTAATAAAGTAGATGATTTGGGCAGCTAAGTTAAGCAAGAGACGTCAGAATGACAGTTGCATGTCCTAGTGATCTTGTGCTGGCCTCTGTTCCCAACTCTCTTCTCCCAATCTATTCCCTACGCCCATACAATGCAATCAAATCTCAAGTCAGGTTCTGTTGGCACCCCTAGAGGAATCATGACACAGTGACAGCAGGGTCAGTCTGTTTCCTAGTCTTTTCCTTCTCTCTCTGAATCAAGCAATCCAAACCCCACCACAGAGATCTGGTACCTAACCACTGAAAGGGGAGCTCAGAAACAGTCTAACTTCCTGATAGACACACACTGTACTTGTGGGTTATTGGAATGGTGTAATCATTTCAACCAAAAGTCTAGGAGAGTTAGTAGATGGTGCGTTTGCCTTCTTTCTGCATCTTATATTTCTGCACATTTCCTGATCTGGTGAGTCATACTGATTGCTTAGTATGTATTGGCATCCCAGGTAATGAATTGGTACTTAATAAACAGCAGTTAAATGCCTGTCACCCTGGCCTAAAAGAGATGCAGGGGGCATTTTTCCCTCCTTTTTTTTCCTATTTATTTGTATGTGTACATACCTATTTAAGGAGAATAATGGAAGTTACTATTTACCCACTGTATAGTTAGGAGAGGACCTGTCAGGTGTTATCTCTGGTTATCTCGCCTCCCCTCCCCCCACTTTCCCCTTGATGCCCAGAAGCAAAGATGGATAAGGCTGGTTAATAGCACATTTAAGCCTTGACTTTTATTTTTTTAACCTTGAAAGTCTATCTGGATTGTCTTCAAATGAAGTTACTTCACACTAGCCACCATCTTTGAGTACTTTTTTCTTGCTTTGCAGAAGGAAAGAAAAGCGGAGGGTTTTGTTTGTTTAGTTTTTGTAGTTGTTTTGTTTTTAAACCATAATCTTGTGTTCTTCATGTATCTTGTCTCTTACATGCTGCGGCATCCTTTAGTTCCCACAGATGACTTCTTACATATGAAGAAACTATGGCTCTGAGAGATTCTGAAACTTGTCCAAGCCTGTGCATCTAGTATGTGTTAGGCTTGGGATTTGAACTGAGTCTGTGAGACTCTTATGGTCAAGTTGTAATCACTAGCTTTGAACTATCAATTTAATTATAGTTTATACCCAAAACATTACTTTCTATGTAAGTAAGATATTTAGAGTTAGAATTTGTGGCTGGAGTATAGCAAGACTCAGAGTATTGACATGTAGCCTACACCGGCCTGGAACCCAGGCTCACCCTGACTTCCTCTCCAAAGCACTAGGGCTGCAGCGTTTACTAGCCCACCGACCTTTGTGCATTGCTCTTTAAAAGAAGAACTTCTGTTTCATCTTCTTACAAATTAGACTTTTACTTACAAAAGCAAAAGGATCATTTCCAAAAAGTTTGAAAATACAACAATATGCAATTAAAAAGCCACCACCCACCTTTTTGTCCATAAAAAATTGGATTGGGTGGTGATGATGTGTGTGTGTGAACGTGTATGTATGTATGTATGTATGTATGTGTGTATATATGTATGTATGTATGTGTGTGTGTATGTATATATGTATGTATATATGTATGTGTGTATGTGTGTGTGTGTGTGTGTGTCTGTGTGTGTCTGTGTGCATTTTAAAAGCTGCATGTGGATGTTTAGAAGGGAAATCTCACAAGTGTTCTGAACGGTTCACTCTGTGGAGTGATGTCTGTTTCCAGCCAGTCTGAGATGAACAGTGTTTACTCACAATTCAGAATCTTTTCTGCTCCAGCTTGGCCGAGGCTGTTTGCAGACGGTCTCATTATATAAACACAGATGAAGCCATTCTTTGAAAAGATCAAAGATGCATTACCGTTTATTTCAGGCTTTTAGTTTTCCATTTTTTCATGTCTGTCTGTCTGTCTGTCTGTCTGTCGTCTGTCTGTCCACCTGCCCGTCTGCCCATCCATCCATCCACCCACCCAGCCACCCAGCCACCCAGCCACCCAGCCACCCATCCACCCACCCACCGACCCATCTATCTATCTATCTATCTATCTATCTATCTATCTATCATCTATCTATCTATCTATCTATCTATCTATCTATCTATCTATCTGTCTATCTATCATCTATCTATGTGCATTGGTGTTTTGCCTGCATATATGTCTGTGTGAGGGTGTCAGATCCCCTGGAGGTGGAGTTACAAACAATTGTGAGCTGCTATATGGGTCCTGGGAATTGAACCTCCCCTTGGAAGAGCAGCCAGTGCTCTTAATTGCTGAGCCATCTTTCCATCCCTATTTTCCAAGTTTTTAATATCTAGAGTCCCTCTGAACTTTGATAATTAACAAATAAAATTAGTAAGCTCTCTAGAAAGACTTGATGTATCACCTCATCTTGAAATGGGTTTGAGCTTATGGTGACATTTGCCCTTGGAATTTGAATGGACCTCACAGGCAGTAATGAGTACCAGTCTGTTGAGGGGCAAGTTTTCCTAGACAAAATGTCTTCATTGCTGAACCTTTCAGCTAGTTCTAGCCTGTTACAGACCCAGCCACTAGGAATAGATACTAGTTTTTCCAGTTACCCATCTATATAAAAAGAAAGGGGGGTGTTTTGTGAAACAGGATGCTTGGGGCTCACTGTAGCCTTTCTCCCAGAGACCTTTGACCTGCTCTGAGCCAGGGGCAAATATGAGAGCTTTCCAGGGCTTTCCTGCTTTCCACTGCTGGTCTGTTTGAATCAAGCCATCCTCCTGCATCCAGAGTAAGGCACCTGCAGTAGCTGCCTGACCTTTCCATCCTCTGCCTCCCCATGGTCCCTCTCCATCTCTGCAGAAAGAAAAGAGCCTTTTCTGCCTCCCCATGGTCCCTCTCCATCTCTGCAGAAAGAGAAGAGCCTTTTCTGCCTCCCCTTGGTCCCTCTCCATCTCTGCAGAAAGAGAAGAGCCTTTTCTGCCTCCCCATGGTCCCTCTCCATCTCTGCAGAAAGAGAAAAGCCTTTTTTGCCCATCGTTGTTTCCCACAGCTGAAGATGATCCTGGGGTCACAGAGATGTTTAATCATCGTCACAGCAGATTCTCCAGCTTTTGCCTGGTC